AAAAAGAAGTTAGAATTATAAATGTGTTGTATTTTGACTGATGCAGCAATTGTATTCGTAATTACTATACCGAATTTGGTATTTTTTCTGAGTGACAGTTAATTTTCTTATTTTTCTCCTAACCCTCACATACCTGAACCTCCTAAGAGAAAAAAAAAAAAATTGAATAAGCTATTTATAGTGAGCTATTTTTAAGATTTTCTGACATGTAAACCTTTTACAAAGGAAATAAAAAGTATGTACTTAAAAGTATTTTGTATGATATAATGGTACACATGCACCTACGGGAAAAATAGTAAGATTATAAAATAGCCTAAGGAGATACTACTTATTTCTTTGTAATCTAGTAGTTGTCTATTAAAGGATCTCTTAAGAGCAATCTTTACCCACGGAAGGGATAAAGTATTTTTTTTCTAGTAACTCTAAGTTGCTCAAATATGTAAGAATGGATAGCTTCGGGAGCATTATAAGATGAAAAGCAGATTTCCAGAGGGAAGAGGCAAGAAACTGCCACAAGAGAATTCAAGTGCGAGCTTCTGTAGCATTGCACATTAAACTAACCCACAGCTCATTTGGAGGGGGAGGAGAAGCAGGCTTCAGGAATCAGATGTCTTTCTCCCAATCTTAGGAATTACACCCTCTGCCACACAGCTTGCAGAGCCAGTGTAAATCGATTTAAAAAAAAAAAAAAAAAGTTACTTTTGCACCTAACTTTTTATTGTTTTACATATTTTCTGATGTACTTCAGAGCCATTCCCTCTCATCTGCCAGTCCCCTAGTCTTTCTTCCATGAGAACTGGAGACAGCTTTAAAACACACGCCGTTTTTGTCTCTGGGACAAACCTCAGGCCCACGTTTTCCTGCAAAATGGAAGGACGCAGCCTCCAGTCCCCCCGAGTGAGGGGCGGGAGGGCGTCGCGGCGCTCGGAGCGGCAGGCGGCCGCCGGGCCCCGGCTCTGCCCCGGCAGACACAGCCCACCCCTCGCACGGACGACACGTGCGCTCGGAGCACGACGGAGACTTTTAACGATTTTCTCTCCACAGCCATTCTACTTAGTTATTTCGACTTAAAAACTCTGCGTTGCCGTTTTTCGCCAAAGAACCGGCCCTGAGGCGGTAGCAGCCACAGGTGGGT